AAAGAGAGAAAAGAGAAGGGAATCAGAAAAGTCAATAGAATAGTTTGGTATTGAGAACCAAAACTCCATATTTATAGGGAAGAAATATGGATACATATGGTAATAATATCTAGGACTGCAGGGGTACAAATGTTATTCACATTAAACCCTAATTTAGTTTCATTTTACAACAGAATAGTTTAAGGAACTTGTGAGCTGTTTTTGTTGAATCTATGAGTAGAAACTGGGCTTGCCATGTGACAAATATAAATAATTCTGCCAAACTATGACCTTTATTTTTATATTTTTTAATTTATATATAGTTATGTATTTTCGTCGTTCAAAATTGATATACGGCTTTTCCTACTAGCCCATATGAGATGATCTTATTTTCTTAAGAAGGTGGGAACTAACATTCTTGTGAGAATCGTACTTTATTAAAGTAGCCTATTGCTTTCTCGCTCTTTTTCGAACCTTTTCGTTGAATTAGTCCATTGGATAACATTGCTTAGTGAAGTAGCACTCATTATCCAACTAGAAAGGGTCATCCAAAAGATTAATGTTTCTCGAGTGGGGGACTAGAGAATTTTAGTATCCAATTCTTGAAAATTAAACCAACAAATGAGTGGTATACATGCATGAAAATAGGTCAAAATATTTAGCTCATGTTTGATGGGAACTAAAATCAAGATTTTAATTTAAGGCAAAGTCAATAATTAATTTTAATGACATATTTCATCAAATTTTATTAAAAACTTATTTTAATATCCACCAAAAAGATTAGTAAAAAATGAGTTTTGTTGATAGGTAGAAAAGGATGTTTCATTTAACTAATGGCACTATCAGTCGTAGAAATTGGTCGGTCCAAAGTTTTTCAGTTGTTGGTAGCATATATACTCTCAATAAACAACAAAAGGAATACTTTTAAGATAAACTTTGCAAATTAAAAAAAATGGAAAAAAGAATTCATAATAAAATAATTTTTTTTTTTAATTATTTTCCATTGCCTTTAAAAAGAGTGGATACAAGACAAAATGGTATACGCTTTTCGTATAAGATAAAAAGAGGAGTCCTAAAATAGGGATTGGTGACATAATAAACGATATAAATAGATTATGTGTTATTGTCAACGTTTATGGCTACTCATGGCCCAATTTTGGTTGCTGTGATGCATTGTGTCAAAGTAGGAACAATGAACGTGATGGCATCCATCAATTTCAACATATATATCGGTTTGGTCGATTTTAAGGGTAAAATGCCCGTAAAATCTTTTTTTTCTTTTTTTAAATATCAAATCAAAATTTATTGATTGAGTTCTGATTAACTTGAGAATCGACGCATCAAGTCAAGGAATCGCCCGAATCGATGCGTGCCACTATCAATCGGTCCAATTTCACGATTTGACTAGTAAAACATCCGGTCTCGATAGTGTACATTTTTCACATACCCTACTAGGGTTCCTTCTCACATGAATTAACGAATTGTTTAAAATAAACTTGGATTAACAAGTCTTTATCGACATACGAGATCAATCCTAGATCATATAGATAAGCTCAAAAAAGTCACGATTGCCAATAAGAGTTGTCGAGCTTGAATATCTGACTCTGTGCTAGTGACCAAACAAAATAGGTCTACACCCCGTTTAAGGCAAGGTTCTTGAAGACGAACTAAAGAGCTCAAGTCGACTATCAAATACTAAAATTAAAAAATCTATCTTGTACTTTAGTCAAGAAGCACAGCTTAGACATTAATTAAAGGAGAGCAACTTACATATTTAAATATTCTTGAAATATAATTAAAAAGGAACTAATAACTTTCTCCAGTTTTAAATAGGCCAAAAAAATTGTTCATCCCCGTTCTATATATAAACCCAAGCCCGACCCAAATTTAATTGACTCTTGAAAGTAGAAATTACACAAAATCAGAGTTTTCAAGATTCAATTTCAAATTTTAGATATACGATTTCACTTTTCAAAAATCGGATATTTCATTTTTAAATATTAAATATTAATTATACAATTTTTATTTCAAACCCTCATCAATTTCATTCCAAACCGGCAAACCCTAGAATTTAAGTAACATACTGGATTCAAGTAACAGTTAAAGTTCAAGAAACTTTAATTGTGTTGGTAAATGGAAACAGTAAAATGAAGCTTTAGTTGCTGGTAAGAGTTCGAACTGCAACTAGTCTCATTAAATAGACTGTACAAAAATTCATCAATAGTAGATAATAACAAGGGGTAAGGGAGTTTCTCCCGTACTTGCTTCTCATAACTCTGTGTCTCAAAAAATTTCATCGTTGACAAAAGTGCTTTCTATAGTACAATGCAGTTTTTGAAAATATGAAGTAACATGTTTAACCATATATGTATTCTTGCCATGATCAAGGACATATATTGCTATACGTAGATCAAATTTGACTTATATCTAACGGATTTGTTTGCTTTGTGGTTGACTACTTAAATATAAATGCCATAATTGGGTTCCCCAATGAAGCTTCTCTTTAAGCCTATTTTACCTTCTCTTGCGACTTGTATACAGTATATTGACATATATCAATATTTGAGATTTTTGTAAAATATATATGCATTGATGTATTTGCAAAGACCCGAACAGTGTGGCGCTGGTAGAAAAGGATTCAGATACTCTGAAATTATTAGGAAAACAACTCAGTATTATGTGCATATTTATATGTTGATTATGGAAGATTCTGGCTTTTCGGGATAAATAAAAATCAACTTTATGTGTGATGTACTCGTAAGCTTGAATCAGTATTGCGTGTCTGGATCCCAAACTCATAGCTGAGATGCAAATTCTTCAACTTGCCACTCTGAACTAGATTTGAAAATTAGACTAAACTAGCATTAACAAATTAGATATAAATTCTTCAATATGCACATAAATATACTCTTTGATAAATTAGAAGATTCACCGGGCAAAGCATGGACGGCGATTTGTCGTGTAACTGTTTTTTGTTTCCTTGTCTGGCTTTTTAATTATGCGACTTAAGGGATTTCTTTTATTGCAATATTGCACGTGTTGTGCACCGCACAATCGTTAGTTGATGTTGAATTTTGGAATTGATCACTCTGTCATGACGTGACAAGGATTTCCCTCGACATTATAAGAGTCCAGTATTTTGCTTTGACAACGTATATTTTGAAAGATATGCAGCAATTTCTCGTGAAAGAATGTGAATCTTGTGAAGGTCTCCTCTGAAGCACAGATCTCACTTGTGAGTCTGATCATCAAGTTCAAAACTTATGTGGAGTTAAGTTTTGTCTTGACGATTTCAATTGTATGATGAAATCCTATGTCACGAGACTTCTCTTTATATGCTTTACACAGCTAGAGTCATCTGCTATTGAGATGGTTTACGTGCAAAATCATTTTTATCTAAGCTGTAAGGAGATAATGGCATTCACTTTTTAATAACTGATACAACATTTCAAAATCTGCTTCTTCAAGAGAAACAGAATAGCATGTCTATACATTTCATTCAGAATTTTGCCTGCCACCATG